GTACACACTATTTGCTGCATACATGATCATGTACACAGTATTTGCTGCATACATGTAGGTATTCAGTAAATAACGCATACATGTACACACTTGGGTTTCCAGAGTTTGTTGTTGTTTTTACTCGATGCATTCTTGTGCTGGGCATATCCGGGCACGCCCAAAAAGGTGTTCTTCTTGAAACAAGAGTATATTGCTCTCGCTCCGATTGCAGTTTTGGATTGTTTGAATCTACCATGCTTACCTTTGAATCAAGTACATTGGTTACTTCATGAATAGTTTTCCGAGTGCAGTACTAAATAAATAAAACAATCAATGTCGCTCTCTGCGTAAATGATGCACACAGTCTGTGACATACAAGTACAGTGTAATTGTATAATTACTTTTGCGTAAAACTGTTGAAGAAACTAGCGCATAGATTCACTGTTGAAAATGTTTTGTGATTTCTCAACACTTGCTCGATACAGAGCAACTGTGAAATCACAACTGTAGTCAGAAATCGTGCGTGTGGACCAGTCGTTTGATAAAACTTTCTGAAGTTAATCAATTTTTGACAACGAAGAAGAGTTGTAAATTCCCCAAAAATCACGAAGTGTTCTGTCAACTTTTTTTTCGCGACGAATTCTTCGTTAAGTCCTGACTTTTTTAACAGTGTAAGTGTTCGTGTATGGTATTTAGTGGGTGTGGTAATGGAAAGTGTGGTTGGGTGATGAGGGTAGCCTAGGCCTACACTGATAAATAAAGTGTTCAACTGGCGTGCATATGCACTCAACACTATTTTGCACACATTTAAGTGTTTGACTGGATATTTGAATATTTTAAATTGTTTAACAGTAAATTGACCCACTTTAAGTGTTCAAAAGGCACGGCCAATCCGGCTGTTGAACACAGCTTAGTGTTCAACTTTCCTGTTAAACACTTAATAGTATTCAATGTTCCAGTTAAGCACTTAATAGGGTGCAACATAGTGTTGAGCACTTGAATGTGGACGCTTGTTGAACACTTTATTTATCAGTGTGTAAGGAGTGAAGTTGCCCGGCAGTCCGTGTGGTGCGCATTTCATCCAATCCGTCAGCTCCAGGAATCAAGGCCGTGCACCGCATTGCACTGCGCCTGCCGCACTTCAAACCATGCGAGGGAAATCTCTGCCGCCGTGCTCCTTCGAAAGGAAGATGTGAGGATGAGAGTGAGGTGGACTCTGCGCTGCGAATACACAAGTATGATGAGATCGAATCGATCGAGCGTGAGGGTAAAACGAGGCAAAAAAAAGAGGGGTGGGGGGTGCAATAGGGATGAATATGGCTGGTAGTGAGTGGAAGCGGAAAGTACTGAACTTTGCTTTCTCCCTTGCCCTTACTTACCGACCACGAGCACGCTCGCGGTACTTTTGAATAGCCGTTCGGTTGTAGGACTAGCGGCGCTCTGCGAATAGCAGTTCGGTTTTGAAGGTGAGAGAAGAACTCGGATGAATACGGAACGAAAAAAAAAGTAAAAATAACACGCCAGTGGGCGTTTGGTATTCGAATGACTTCTCAACACATAGACTATTTTTTTCCCTCTCGGTGGCACACGACTCCGCGTGCAGCGTGTAAAGGGGGGGGGGGGGCGGCGGAGCCCGGCGGAGCCTTCTGCCCGCAAGCTGTTCCGGGCGTGGTCACGCTCGCTCTGCGCCCTTAAATAATTAACGACGTTATCCGCAGCGCCGCCTGCAAATAACGCTCGAGACGCGATGCGTGCGAATAGTGAACGTGAGTCATGCAAATAGTGTATACGTGCTGCTGCTCGAGCGGTGCACACGTGTGAGTGTGTGAGTGTGTGTGTGTGTATGTAAGTGTGCGCGCACCCCGCTCCCCACTGTGCGGATGGTACACAACACGTACACACTGCTGTTGTTATCATGCAAGTAGTGCAAATAATGTGTGGTGCGAATAGTAGCGGTGCCCATAGCTCGACCGCTCGCTCGCTCAGCGCAAGTCACACAGAGCCCCGTGTACGCATTGTTCCAGGCAATAACTTTCCCGGCCAGTCCTCGTTCATCAAGTACACATCACGTAAGTATGGCGGGACGCTTCTGGGAACGCTCTTTTGTTTTCAGAAATTTTGCAGAAGCAGGAATTGTTTTCTCAAACGGCCCACCCCCCACCCTTTTTTTGCAGGACAAAGATACTGTGTGTACTATGTATTTTCCTTGATCTGTGATACGTACTTTGACTTTGCAGCAGTAGAAGTGTGTGTGCCCTGTCCAATATTTTAGTTCGGTCGAGATAAGATTTTGCTTTAGGCTATAAGTGTACCGTATAGCAAGGGTAAAGTTTCTCGTTACACTCACAAACCACACAAATATACATACACACACAGAGATAGAGGCAGCATTCCTGTAGAGCTAGACACACACATACACACACACTGCGACCTTTGAGACGAGGAACGGGGGAGTAATAGTTTCGCAGGGAGGCTGTTTGACAAAATGTAGTCCCCGCCAGCAGCAGTAGAGGGAAGTCCTGAGCGGGCGCTGCTCGGCTTGTCCGACACACACACGCTTCGCCGACTTCGAATAACACGACCAAGACTGGGGGAGAGGGGGGGAAGAGTGGTGTGTGCGGGCAAGAAATGGAGACGCGACACGCGGACTGAAAGGGAGGGCGAGGGAGGAGGGGACGGCGCGGCGATCTGAAAGGGGAGGGCAGGGTGAGGCTGAAACGGGAGAAGAGAGGGTGGGCAGGGTGAGGGGGTGGAGGGTCAGAATTCATCTTGCTGATGGCACGCCCATGGCACGCTGTAGGCAGGAGGATGAGGG